CCAGGGCCCCCGCCCCTGTGCCCCAGACAAGCTCCAGCCCCCCTCTCGGTTTGCAGTGCTTTTCCAGAAGCTCTCAGCGGCTGACTGCCCCCTCTACCTGCGCCTGCTGGCCGGGCCCGACACTGATGTCCTCAGCTTTGTGCTCAAAGAGAATGAGACCGGAGAGGTGGAGGTAGGCCTGGGCCCTTTGCTGGTGCAGCTGGTGGGTGTGGTGGGCGGCATCCTCACTGCCCGGCGCAGGTGTGGCAGGAAAGTGACTTGAGAAAGTTGAGCTGGGGTGAGTGGGTCCAGGTTCATTGTGTAAGCCAGACTGTCAGCGCCCTGGGGTAGCAAGTCAGGGCTTGTGTCTGGCACGGACTGTGGAAAGAGAGGACCTCATGTGCTTTATCTCTGAAAGCTCAGGATGGAAGGGCACGGAGAAACTCCCTGGGTTACGCCCAGGTTGCTTTGCTCCAGGGTGGCCTGAGGCCCAGCATGAGCCATAGGTATTTTAGAGCCTTTTCTCTTTCCCTGGTTCTTAAAAATTGACCATGCGCCCCCGCCAGGAGCCATCCAGCCTGGTGTAAACTGGGCTGAGACCAGACGGCTGCTCACAGTGGCCTGGGATGCTTGGACGGTGGAGACATGTGACCAAGAGCAGGGGAGCATCTCACTGTTTGTCACATGTGTTCAGTGGAGGCCTAGGGTTTGGGAGAGCAGTCTTGGAGGTCACTTTGGAGAAATGGCAGATCTAGGGAAGTGGGGCTCCGTCCCTTCTCCCACTTCCACCAGGAAGTTCTGGTTATTGGGAAAATATTCCACTGAAAAGATTAGAACACAGCTGGCCAGAGGACAGCTCGCAGGCCTGGGAATCCGGAGACCTGGGTTCTGATTCCAGTTCTGCGGCCACAAGCTCTGTGATTGAGGTTACACTGCCTTCCCCCCATGGGCTTCAACTTTCTCACTTATGCAGTGTGGGGCTGAAACTGGATAAACCTTACTACTCCTTTGTGCTCTAAGAATTTAGGAGTTGAAACCCCTTGCCCCAGGGGCCTCTGCTCCTGGGTCAGCCTAAGAGGCCAGGTCCCGTCCAGGCAGGCCTGGGCCAGCGAGGCCCTGCAGAGCTTTGCAATGTTATGTTTCATTATCTGCTCTGACAGCAGATGAGAAAACAGGCTGCTAAGAGTGGGGTGATGAGTTTAAAGTCACAGGGTGGATTCAAGCTGAAACCCAGCCTCGTGAGTCCAAGTCCAGCTCTCCTCCAAATCCTCAGGGTCTGCATATTGGGAGCCTCCTGTCACCCAGCAGACAACTGGAGCAGGCCAGCCAGGCACCTGGGCAGCCCCAGCATTGCTGTTAAGATCTCAGCTGCTACGGGGAACATTTAAGATTGTTGATTAATAATATTGATAATCACCTCATGGACTAGTACCTCTTGGTCATGAGATACCAGGATTTGAAATGCTGTTGTTAACATGACATGGGAAACCCAGGTTTCAGTCGCACACTGTGCACAGCTGTGTGAACATGGAGGCAGCAGGGCCCCTCGGGGTGGACAACCTCTAACCGTCTCCTATTCTGTTCCTCCCTGCATTCCCTCTCGCTTCACAGTGGGATGCCTTCTCCATCCCCGAGCTCCAGAACTTCCTAACAATCCTGGAAAAAGAAGAGCAGGACAAAATCCAACAAGTGCAGAAGAAATATGACAAGTTTAGGCAGAAACTGGAGGAGGCCTTAAGAGAGGCCCAGGGCAAACCTGGCTAACCGGTCCTGCTTCCTCTGCTCCCAGCGCCCTCGGATTTATTTTTATTATTAATTATTATTTTGCAACAGACACTTTTTCTCAGGACACCTCTGATGGATGTGTGTGTGCCCGCCCAGCAGCTCCAGATGTGGCACAGTCTCTGATGGACACGTGTGTGTACGGGGCTGGGTCGTGCCCACCCCCATGCAGCGCCTGTGTGCACCCTGCCAAGCGGCACTCATGTAAAGAGCAACCTGCGTCCTCTCGCAATCTGCAAGCCTTTCACAAACCAAATAGTTGCCTCATTTCTCCTTTATTTGACACCCATGGTACCTTTATTTATGAGTCAAAAGCTGTAGGATATTCCTTTAGCACGTCTGAGCTAGGCCCCTGAAAGTAGGATAATGCTCCTAAAAGGACTGTCCTCCTCTGGCCCCAGATGCTCAGGTTGGGAGCACCAGAGCTGAGGCTGGCTCAGAGATTTCTGGAGAAGCTGCAGCCTGGCCCCGGCCCTCGTCGCCGAGTCTGCACATGTGAGCCCAAAGGCGTATGTGTACATCTGTGTATTTGTGGTGCTTAGCCACATCTTTGTCAACAGCTGTTTGTCCTTAAATTGCAACTTTATTTAATCTTGTCATCCTCGTGTTTCCACCAAGGGGAAACCAGCTATTTACCATTTTAGAGGTCTCCTGCTGAGTATGGAGATCAGGCAGTCAGAGAAAGCCAAAAAGCTTTGTGGAGAAATGTGTCCAAGCATCTTCAGCCTTGCCTGGCAAGAGCAGGGGAGGCCTGGCTGCCTTGGTTTCCCTGGGCCTCCAGCACGGCCTCCCTCCTCCACAGGACTGTAGAATCTCCAGGTGCTGCCAGAGGAGCTGCCCTGGTTTCAGGGGGGAACCTCCCACTCAGCCAACTTGGAGTTCATTGTGTTCTGAAGCTCGGGCCAGCCCGTGGCACTGCACTCGGTGAGCCGTGGGACTGGCCTCCCCGCTGACCTCAGTGCCTTTTTGTTTCCAGAAAGACGGGAGCAGGGAGAGTTTGCTTGAAGCTTTGCTGCTGGCTTGTTCCTGCCAGGAAGTGGGCCACTGTGGTGTGGGAGACAAGGGCAGGAGAGCCCTCCCTCTAAGAGTGGGGTCAGGGTCAAACCTTCCCATCGAAGGTCCTGGGCTTTGAATCCTGTAAGTGATGTCAAAGCACATGGACAAGGCGGATCAGGTTCCTGACTCTTCATTTGTGCTGACTCCTTGTTTCAGTCCAAACCTAAACGTACACTAGCCAAGCGACCTAAGCAAGTAGCCGGGACTGCAAAGACACTCCAGTGCCGAGGGAGAAAGACTTTTTACTTTCAAAGCGGGGCAGGTTTTTCTATCCAGCCTCTGAGAGACCAGTTCTTCAATGTCCTCTGCCTTCCTGAGTCCCTCTTGGGTTGGTTCAAGCCTAAGTTCCTTTGTGTAGCCTCAGAAGTTCCCTCCCTGACCCTCGCTGGGTCCACACTGCCCTGATCCCAGAAGGAATGCTGACCCTTCCTCATATAAACTGTGCTGGTCTTCAGAGCTGCACAAGCAGGACAGGCTAGCAGCTTGAAAAGATTTTTAAACCACAGAACCCTGGTGACCTGCCATCTCATGCTCAGCCTTAGCACTCCCCCCCGAAGCCTCCCTCCCTGCTGAAGAGTAGAGGAGTGGTCAAGAGTCCTTCATGCGGCATGTCTCTACCATGAATAGAAGGCACGGCTCCTGCTGCAACCGCTGTGAATGCTGCTGAGAACCTCCTGATGGGGGTGGCTATTTTATTTTTGAGAAGGAAGAAAAACTCATGTACATATATACCATAAAGGCATATAGCTATATATAAAGAGATAGGGGTGTTTATGAAATAAGAAAATTAGAGGGAAATGCAGACTTTATCTAAAGCACAGTTAGACCCAGGACCCAGGTTGAGGTCCAAGCCTCCGAAAACAGTGGATTAAGTATCCCTTCCCTCCCAGAGGCGGGTGTGACTGCTGGAGTGCCTTCTGTCGTCCAGTTGCCCGGTGTGTGTTTGTTTGGAGGATATTTCCTCTTTAAATGTCTTTCTTATATGGGTTTTAAAAAAAGTAATAAAAGCTCGTTGCAAAAATGATTCCGATTGGAGACCTCTTCCTTGAACTTGACCCTCTCGTGGAACTTGGGAGCGGGGCGAGCGGGTGGGAACCGAATCGAGCACATACTTCTTGGCAGAGTCAGATTTTCTTTTGCCAGTGAACAGAGGCATGAAGGCTACTGTTCAAATAATCTTGAGAAAACTGCCCAAATACACGGGCTGGAGAGTGCTGCCCGGGTGACCGGCCGTTCTACACCCCCGCAGAGCAGGAGAGGAAAGGGGGTAGCGGTACAGAAAGAGACGCGGAGTTAGAAGAGAAGGGCTCTCGAGCTACGGATGATTCGGCTCCATGACCCGCTACTGAGGTGAGCAACGATTCTCCTATTTCTTCTTTCTGCTTCCAGTTCTGTTATTTTTTAAATTCAAGTATAGTTAATACACTACACATTAGTTTTAGATGTACAACGCATAGTGATTTGACATTTATATACTTACAAAGTGATACAGTAGGTCTACTAACCATATGTCATGATGACATAATTCACTATAGTCCCTGTGCTGTACATCACATCCCCATGAATTATTTTATAACTGGACGTTTGTAACTCATTCCCCTTCACCTTTTCATCCATCCCTCCACCTCTCCCCTCAGGCAACCAATAGTTTATTCTCTGTATCTATGAGTCCATTATTATTTTTTTGGATTCCCCATACATGTGAAATCATACAATATTTGTCTTTGGCTTATTTCATTTAGCATGATACCCTCTAGGTCCATCCATGTTGTCACAAGTGTTAAGGTTTTATTCTTTTTTTTTTTTTACTTTTTAAATTTACCTTTATTGTTGAGAGTATTACAGGTATCTCATTTTTCCCCCCAGTTGATCCCCTCCACTTCCTTCCCACCCCCTTCCCAGGCCTTCACCCCATTATTAACTGTGCCCATGGGTTATGCATATAATTTCTTTGGTTAATCTCTTCCCACCCTCCACCCCCCTTCCCTCTTTCCTCTGAGATATGATCCTCTGTTGCATGCGTCAATGTCTCTGGGTCTATTTAGTTCATCAGATTCTTTTGTTCATTAGCTTCTTCTTAAAGAAGACCCTTCAACTTTTCCTGTAGTGCTGGTTTGGTGGTGATGAACTCCTTTAGCTTTTCCTTGTCTGAGAAGCTCTTTATCTCACCTTCAATTCTAAATGATAGCTTTCCTGGGTAGAGCAATCTTGGTTGTAGTTCCATGTTTTTCATCACTTTGAATATTTCTTGCCACTCCCTTCTGGCCT